TTTAAGATAAACTACATCTCTCTTGAGGCCCTTTTCCATCTGATTGTACGTTGGTAGTGGGGAGGGCTGACACACAATAAAAATTATCTTGTTACTAATAGAAGTACAATCAGGACCCAGGTTATTTTATGCAAAGAACAGATTGTGCTTTCCTGATGGACATTAGCCATGTTTCTCTTTAGCTGGGACAGCTCTTTGTTACCAGACAGAACTGCCCATCTTGTAGATTTCTTGTGTGTGTTAACTGAAAGATTGGAAATAACCTTGTATCGTGCCTGAAACAAAGAGTTCCCTCAATAAATTGTTATTGGCTGGTCAGGTCTACCAGATATTACGTATACTGAAAGCCCATGACAGAGGAAATGTGCAGTTTTATGGGTTTACTACGAACTCTGCTGAATCTGTCACATTTGATAAATTCTTTGTTTACAAATGGCTGCAATCTGTTAACGCTCATTTGTATGAATTTAATGTGTTTTTCATTTAGCTCTTTAAAAAGAATATTACAATGTTAATTGCTAGCTCTTAGGTAAAGAAAATTCCCTCTGAAGAGCACAGTGCATGGTATGTGGTAAACTGGCACTCAAAATAAATGTTTATTGAGTCAAAGCATGAGTTATTATGGTTAACTGCTTGGCTACTAACCAAAAGTTTGGCCATTCGAACTCACCCAGTGGTTCCGAGGGAGAAGAGACTTGACGATTTGCTGCCATAAAGATTATAGCCTAGAAAATCCTATGGGGCAGTTCTACATACGGGGGTTGTTATGAGTTGGAATCAGCTCGACGGGCACCTAACAACAACAATAGCAATAAAGGCCTGTGATTCGTCGGTAGCTAAACCTCTTTATTATAAATTTTGATCTCATAGAGAAGTGCTGTCCAATAGAGATACAACGTAAGCCATATATATAATTTTATGTTTTCCAGTAGCCACATTTGAAAAAGTAAAAATAAATAATTGAAATTAATTTTAATATTTTATTTAACCCAATAGTTGGAATCCAGCAGCCGCTCCTTGGAAACCCTATGGGGCAGCTCTACTCTGTCTTACAGGGTCACTGTGAATCGGAATTGACTCAAGGGCAGCGGGGTTTTTTTAAATTAAGATTTTAGAAAATTTAGATTGAAAAGGTAGATTCATATACCCAAGTTTTTTCAAATATACTTAAAAAATTTCCAATAATGGAATCAAATATCAGTTTTAAAATTTAAATTGAATTTCTAAAAAAATAAAATAAAAATTCCAGTCCCTCGGTTAGCTACATGTCGAGTACTCATTAGCCACATATGGCTACTGCCTTCTGTCTCGGACCGTGCCGGTCTGCAGGGCCGAAGGGAGGCAGTGCTCTTTTAGCACGTTTCAGCGTAGGTTTAGCACCTTGTAGGTCTTGATTTCTCTTCTGTTCTCTCAGTACTTCAGTTTTCTGAGACTTTTATTACCCGAACACCTTAAATTAAAACAAACAAACAAACAAAAACCAAACCAGTTGCTGTCCAGGTGATCCCAACTCGTGGTGACCACATGTGTGTCAGAGTAGAACTGTGCTCCATGGGGTTTCAATGACTGATTTTTCACAAATAGGCCTTTCTTCTGAGGTGCCTCTGGGTGGACTGGAACCTCCATCCTTTCAGTTAGCAGCCAATGGCATTAACCACTTGCACTACCCAGTTAACGAAAAAAAACTGAACCCATTGCCATTGAGTCAATTCCAACTCATGGCGACCCCACGCGTTTCAGAGGAGATCTGTGCTCCACAGGGTTTTCAATGGCTGTAATCTTTACGGAAGTAGATCACCAGGCCTTTCTTCTGCAATGCCACTGGGTGAGTCTGAACCACCAACCTTTTGGTTAGTAGCCCAGCACAAACTGTTAGTGCTACCCAGTTAGAAGACTCTAAATTGAACATGCCACTTTTAGTTAATAATACTGAAGGAAATAATTCAGAGCCTTAGAATATTTCTGTTGCCATTTCTTCCTAGTCACAGACACACAAAGAGCATTATATAGTAACACAAGACAATTTTGTTCATGAGCATTCTTATTACTAAGGTCTGTGGCTAAACAGTTTTGATGCAGTTGCAAAATGGCCTCATGTCAGTTCGAGAGCAGGGGCGCTCACACATGGGGAAGCATTCAATAACTCCTCAAAATACCCACAATGACGTTTTTACCTATACAAAGTGCATTGTCATTTTGTTTCATCATATACCAAACCTAAAACCATGGGTATGAAAAAGGATTATTTGAATACCATCTGTGGGTAGATAGAGTTGTTCCTAGTATATTCTGTTAGCCAGAATTATGGATTTGAGTTTCCCAGTAACAACTATATTTGAATGCAATTTCACTGTTGTAGAATTTCCCTTATTCCCAATTGCTTTTTTCCCCCAAGTGTGTTGATTTTTAAAACAAGTATCCCTTATTGTTGTTACTTAATATTTTATAAGTTTCAGTATGCGAAGGCCCAGTGTGGTCAATATAGCTAAGAGATTTGCCCAGGATTCTAATGTACACTTTACAGTCTGCGAAAACCACTGCACTCGAATCCTGGTCTCTGCTTCAAACTCCATCTCTAAGTAGCCATTATACCTTACGGGGTGAACCTGTGGGTCTCGTGCCTGGTGCACAACTGAACAGTGCCTCTTACTCCAGTTATCTTCTTCAGTAACCTGGTGGAATTTTGTACAGTGGAGATAAATATGCCTGTGAGGGTCACCACAAGGGTAAAGTTACAGGATAATATGTGAGTGTGCTTTGAAAAGCAAAATTCAACTGAGTGGTTGAAGGAATGATTCATATGCCAGTGGGGCTGCGCCTCCTTTCACAGATATTTGTCTATCCCCAGGTCAACACAGGTACTGTTGTAACACGAGGTACTCCTGTGCGGCTGCAGCAGTCGGGGGAGCGGCTGACACTGGGCTAGTAGCCCCTGTGGGCAGCCGTGGTTCTAGCTGATCAGGGCTGTTCAAGCACAGCCTCTGCCCTGGCAGCTTCAGCACGTCTTGCTAATTCAGGACCTCCACAGAGGGACTGTAAAAGCTTGGCATTCCCAGTTGCACACCATAACTCAGGATGCAGCCTTGCTCTTCCAAAGCCTGAATTCTGTTTGAGGAGCAGTGATGAACAAACACCCCAGGGGGCTTGTGAGTTTTATTTGCTTTGTGAAACTGGGACGTGTTTACAAGGTAAAATGTGAAATAAATAAATACACAGATGGTGTTCTAAAAAACCAAAAAACCCAAACTCACTGCCAACGAGTAGATGCGATCCTGACTCATAACGACCCTATAGAACTGCCCCCATAGGGTCCCCGAGGCTATAAATCTTTATAGAAGCTGACCGCCACATCTTTCTCCTGTGGAAGGGCTGGTGGGTTTGAACCGCCAACCTTGTTGTTAGCAGCCAAGCGCTTTAACCATTGTGCTGAGTTCTGGAAGTGAATATATACTGAGTAAGATTTTTCCCCCCTCAGAGGATATTTGTATTTGCTATTTTTAGGACTTTTGGGACATGTTTTAAGGGTCAAGTGTTAACTTTTCAGAAACAACCTTTAATGAGTCAGGATAAAAACCATCTGGTACAGAGAGAGATTCTTCCCTGAAATGGAGGAACTCCAGGAGAGAGGAGGAATTTCCCATCATCTTAAGGTTCCCATAGGAAGCTTACGGAAGTAGCTTAAACATTGCATCTATCCCCTTCTATCTATTGTCCCTTTGATCTTCCTGCCTACCCATGAAAGGAAGTGAAAAAGAAATACTGGAATAAAGAGGAATAGAGACAAGGGAAGCTTTTTGTCCTGAAGAGGAAGAGCGTGTGAAATCAGAGGCTTATGGGCCATAGACCCTGCACTATAATGAGTGGCAGCAAGGGCGAGGAAGCCACCTGGAGGAGATAAGACAGGACCGAAATCAGGGACAGCTCTCCTCCCTCCCTAAACAAGCTCGCCTAAGTGACGCTTCCTTGTGTCCCAGGAAGTGACGACCAGCCAATGCAGCCTTTGTGACTCCCGGGTCTCACCCTCTCTGGGGGTGCTGTAGGGCGAGCCTCGCGACCTCTTCCGTTGGCCGCGCTCCCAAGAAGGCGATGCCGTCCAGGCAACCTCGGCGAGCTGCCTGGGCTGAGCAGCCCCTCGGAAGCTGCTGGCAGCTGTACCCCTCGCCCAGCTATTAGTGTGACCCTAAACCCCCACGGCTCCCTGGAGAAGGGGACGGAGAAAGGGCGTAGACAGGACGGGGATTGAGAAAGAGTGCGAACGGGGATGGAGGAGAATTTAAGAACGGGCAAAGTCCCGAGGTAGGAGATAGGAGGTGTAGGATCCAGTAGGATCGTACCCAGTTCTTCCCCAATGAAAACGGACAAAAAGCCGCTTCTTTGCATCAGCTCCCTCTCACCCAAACCCCGCAAAAACCAAATACGGATAAAAATAAAACCACCAGAGGCTTAGACGCCCGTAAACCCCGCGGGTGGGGCGAGAAGCAAAAATAAACACTGGGACGCGCGGGCCGGAGACGCGGGCGGAGGGGGGGGAGGCGGCCCCGCATCCCTAATGAGGGAATGAATGGAGAGGCCCCCTCGGCTGGCGCCCGCCC